ATGGAGCCCATTCGTATAACGAAAGACTATGTGAAAGACTTTGGCTCCATGGCAATTGAACTGTATGTATGTGATCTGAGCGCCATTCAGTAATAATGTGCGCTCAGATCTAAGCTATCTGGGGATATGTACCTGTTTTATGCAGTAGCTGCACAGTTATATATTTTTATATATTTTTATGTATTTTATTGTATTTTGATACCATGTGTTCAATGGAGTTTTGCCTCTGTCCTTGGAGATAATTTGATTACTTCCAAATTATCTCCAGGATAGAAGACTCTGGGCAGAAAGGCCTCCTTCCTTTGGTCACAAAGGACGTCCATCTAACTTTTGAACCACTGGACCAAAATGTATGATTTTGACATGATTGTATTCGGAGTATGATTCCGAAGATGTAAGTTTTATGTGAATGTGATGTATACTTTTAAAGTTATGAATAATGTGGAAAAACTGTATTTCTCTGCCCGTGATAATTACATTAACCCATTGTGTAAGGTAATTGTATCACAGGCAGAGGGGAGGATTTTGTGTGGCAGTGTCTGAGTGTATTGTATGTGTTTATTGGTTGTTTTACAAAACCTTGTGGGGGGGTACTAATGTGTAAGAATGTGTATATAAGAACAATAAACCCACAGCTCTGTCTGTTCTACTTCACCCTCAACATGGAACATTGTCTCGTTCTTGGGGAGAATTTATTGTATGCTGTTCCAGTTTGACTGCTTGGAGTGTAAACCTATTTGTATGTTTTTTTCCTATTGGCTGTTTACAGCATTACAGCATTCGTATGGTTCCGGTTTGGCTGTTTACGGCATTCATATGGTTTCCTTTTTCGGCGAATTGGTGTCTTTGGCAGCTGCCTGTGTATCTGGAAGGGGAATATCCTCTTAATGGCGTTTAACCCCTGTTATGCCCGGGGTGCCGTTACAGAAGCCATTCACATTTTTAGATTCTAATTTAAAATCTTGTCCACTATATTCTTGACCAGTCTCCCAGTTTCCTCCCTCTTTGGAATCTGAGATTGTCCAGTGACTTTGTGGCAAGCACTTTCATTCCCGAATCCCCATCTATACCCTGTAAAAGGTTGCTCCAGAGAAAGGGTCGTGTTTGCTTCAAGAAAGGAGCTCAAAAGGACTCTGTTTCAGAGTCTACAGTGCTAAACTATTGAATCACTCTGTATGTGGCTTTTAGTTTATTATATTTATTCTGGATTCCTGGTCTTTGCTTGTCCTGATTACGATTTGTTAATTGCCTGTATCATCTTATTTGCTTTTTTATTTATTTTTTACAATTCTTTATTTTTGTTGTGCATTTTGTGAGATGCATGTAAACTGGCAGTGCCACAACAGCAACAACAAGCGTGGTAACGTATAACGGTAAATCTGTACATGACAAGCGGTAGTGCTGCACAATTTTTGTAGTATTCAGTAAACAGGCTATACAGACATATCTAGGTCAGAGTGGTATTATTGCCCTTTATATAGCACCAACAGATTCCATAGTGCTTTACAATATTATTAGAGTGGGGATTTAACTATAAATAGGACAATTACAAGAAAACATACAAAAACGATAGGTTGAAGAGGGCACTGCTCAAATGAGCTTACAGTCTATAGAAGGTGGGGTGTAAAACACATTAGAACAGGAAATGGCAGTCAAATTAGGTGGGAGTGAATCATAGCTGGAGGAGAGAGTAGAGTGCTGCCCTTAAGGAGATGGCATGAGACAGGTATGTAAGTGGAGGTTAGTCTGGGAGGCCATAGGCTGTCCTAAAGAAATGGGTTTTAAGGCTCTTAATTGATTGAAGACTAGGGGAGAGTCTGATGGTGGTAGGCAGGCTATCCCATAGGAAGGGAGTCGCCTGCGAGAAGTCCTGCAAGCGCGAGTTGGCTGTACGGGTGCTAGCAGCGGACAGAAGGTGGTCACGAGCAGAGCGGAGAGACCGAGAAGGGGCATACCTATGGATCTCTGAGGAGATATGAAGGGCTAATGTTATTCAGTGCTTTATAGGTATGGATTAGAACTTTGAATTGACTCCTATAGTATACAGGAAGCCAATGTAAGGACTGACAGCGTGGTGAGGTGAGAGGATCGCCTAGAGAGTAAAATCAGTCTGGTGGCAGCATACATTACAGACTGTAGCAGGGCAATACGGCTATTGGGAAGACCGATTAGGAGAGAGTTACAATAGTCCATGTGAGATTACTAGAGCATGGACAAGCTCTTTAGTAGCATCTTGTGTAAGGGGCGGATGTGGGTGATGTTTTTGAGGTGAAATTGGCATGATTTGCCAACAGAGATGTGAGGCTCAAAGGTGAGGCCAGAATCAAAAGTAACACCAAGGCAATGTGCTTGTAAGGATGGGCTGATATGGGTACCACTAATCTGAAGGGAGAGCGAGAGATGAGGATTAACATTAGGACGAGGAAAGACAAGAAGTTCTGTTTTGGAAAGATTCAGTTTCAGAAAGCGGGAGGACATCCAATCAGAGATTATAGAAAGGCAGGAGGTGACACATTGAAGGACATCTGGGTAGAGGTCCGGGGAGGAAAGATATATCTGGGTATCATCAGCATACAGGTGGTATTGGAAGCCAAAAGATTTAATAAGTTTGCCAAGAGAGGCGGTGTAAAGAGAAAATAGAAGGGGACCAAGGACAGAGCCTTGGGGGACTCCAACTGAGACAGGACCAATGGTGGAGGTCTCATTTGAAAAGGAGACACTGAATGAGTGTTGGGAGAGATAAGAGGAAAACCACAAGAGGACAGAGTCACAGAGACCAAGTGATTGAAGAGTTTGGAGAAGGAGAACATGATCAACGGTGTCAAAAGCAGTGGAGAGGTCAAGAAGAATTAGTATGGAGTAGTGACCTTTGGATTTAGCTGTGATAATGTCGTTAGTGACTTTGATAAGGGCAATTTCAGTAGAGTGGAGGAGGTGGAAGCTGGACTGAAGAGGGTCAAGGAGTGTGTTGGAGTTGAGGAAGCAGGACAGACTGATGAAGACTAGCTTTCAAGAAGGAAAGAGGGAGCAGAGATATAGGATGGAAGTAAGAAGGGGAGGGGACAAGGTGGTGTTTCTTTAGCTGTTCAATCTTGTCACTAAAATAGCATGCAAAACTATCGGCTGTAAGGTTTGCTTGGGGGGAGGGGGGGCTGTGGCCGCAGCAGGGCAAAGAAGGGAGTTAAAGGTATCAAAGAGACACCTGGGATTGTGAGAGTATGAGCGAATAAGAGAAGAAAAGTATGACTGTTTGGCAAGGGCAAGGACTGTGCTGTATAACAACAACAATATGAATTTGTAGTGTAGAAAGTCTGACTCGTGTGAGACTTCCTCCAGCTGCATTCAGCAGAACGGGAACATCTCTGCAGGTAGCGTGTTGATTTAGTGTGCCACGGTTGGGGGTGTATTCTCCTCGAGGTATATATTTGGAGAGGGTAGAGTTATATGAGGAGATAGCCAGTGAGGGACATAAGTAAGCAGGAATTGATAATAGTTGGGAATCGATATCAGCTGACATCTGCTGGACGTTTACAGAACTAAGATTCCTTCATAGTTGAGGGGGGTTAGGCTGAGGTTGTTGGGGGAGAGGGTTATTGAGAGCAAATTATAGGAAATGATGATCTGAGTGAGGAAATGGAGTGTTGCAGATGTTAGAAACTGTACATTCATGAGTGAAAATAAGGTCTAGATTATTGCCTGCTACATGAGTGGGGGAATTAGCTCACTGTAATAGCCCAAGGGAGGAGGTAATAGAAAGTAGTTTTGAGGCTGCTGGGGTCACGGGGTGGGTTAATGGGAATGTTGAAGTCTCCGAGAATTACAGATGGAATGTTAGAGGAGAGGAAGTAAGGAAGCCAGGCAGCAAAGTGGTCAAGGAAGAGAAGTGGGGGACGATAGATAACAGCAATGTTAGCAGAGATGGGTTTGAAAAGGCGGATTGAATGAATCTCAAATGATGAGAAAGAGAGGGAAGGGGGTGTGGGTAGAGGTTTGAAGGAGCAGTGAAGTGAGAGCAGAAACCCTACACCACCAGCTTTATTTTTAGAGTTTCTTGGGTTGTGGGAAAATTGAAGACCACCAAAGGATAAAGAGGCAGGGGTAGCAGTGTCAGAGGGAGAGAGCCATGTTTCAGTTAATGCTTGTAATTGTAGGGAATGAGAGATGAAAAGATCATGCACAGCTGTGGATTTAGTAGAAACAGAGCGCGCATTCCTGTTACTAAGAGATATTGTAAATCAGCAAGTTAAGATGAGGTATATAGAAGAGTATTAATGAACACGCTTACATACCATATGTCCATGAGTAGAGTGCTAAAGTAGTAATACAAAAACAAAAACCAGTAATAGTCATAGCAATATAGTGATGATATGCAAGCAATATCTTTACACTGTACGATTTTATAGAGTAGGTTCAGGTTGGTCAAATATTGCATGACAAGATATTAGGTGAGTTAGTCTAGGGATAGTCTAGACTAGAATGTTTAGCTTAGAGTCAAGCCGTATCATCTGGCACAGAGGTTAGCAGTAACAATACACCCAAAAGGTCACCTTGATATCACAGCAAAAAGAGAACTAGAAACTAAGATAAAAACACAACTGGATCAATTGATACACGCCTTTATATGTCTTATGCATGGTGCTGTTCTGCCCTATCAACCTGTGTGTTGCTAGAGGCTGTGTACGCTCGTGAAAGCAAAAATGGACAGAGCATGTATATGCGTTAACTTAAAGGGTAAACCTAACAGCAGGGTTCGTTGTGAGGCTATTGCAAGCTTATGGAGTGCACCCTTAGTTTGTGTACATGGACATCCTGTATTTGGGCCCAATTTTAACTATGGGTGAGGCGTACGCTGGGGGGGTTAACACAGTGATCAATTGTTTGGTCTGAGGAGGGGTCTGAGCTGTTGCCCTGGTGTGGCTAAACTCCCTTTACTATGCTTTCTATACCTAACTAGTGAGCTGCATAGAAAACATATTGAGTTATGTTTGTTGTGGTCAGACCTGTGGATAGGTTGTGGCTAATACGTAAGAGTCCGGTGTGGACAATCTCGGTACAAACGTGGGGGCCCCTGCCAGATTGCATGTGTACCATATCCTGGGAGCTATGTTCTGATCTTCTTGGTTCAGTGCAGCAGCTGGAAGTCCCAGTTTCTGGAGTCCCAGTTCATGTGGATCCTGAATCATGTGTGTTGTGTCCCCATGGAGAACTGTTAGAGCTTGGGAAGGTCGCCACCTGTATTGAATTGTATAAAAATAATAGCAACAGGGTGTGTAGGCGCTTCACAGTGGATAAAAGCACAAACTAAGGTGTAATACTGGTGTATCCCCTTCAGCATATAAGTTCAATAAGCACAAAACAAAAGATGTATACACCTTAGACATATAAACTAGTGGTATAAATACCTGTCCTTGTATAGCAATTAGGCAAAACAAATCTACAAAGATAAAAAAACATACATAGTTCTTTCTGTTTATGTGAAATTAAGAAATTAAAATATAGGAGGAATAAAACTCACAAAGTATAGAGTCGTATCAGGCTCCATATACTGCGTATTTAGGGTGCCTATACAGGCTAAGTGATATGTGTAGTTCTCCCTTCTGGATACTGAAGATGGAGGCTCCAATAAAGTGATACAAAATTTTTTGGTAAGTTTAACAAAGTTAAAAACAAGTAAGGGACAATGAGCAGTGCAAAAAATAAAATTAGGTCACAGCAGTAGTAACTATAAAATAGTCCCAATGAATAGTCAGCAGACGTGTTTTGACTCTTCCTGGAGTCTTCCTTAATGCTGATCTGTGCCTACATATCTTCAGTATATATACATAATACATACTAGTAATTGATGATCGTGTTCACCTGGCTGTATTCCGACTTCCTTTCCGGTGAGTGAGATGCCATCGTGGTGCGCATGCGTGTCACTTCCGGTTTCAAAATGAGTCCAGCAATAAGTGGTCCACGCGCTATTTTTCTTAAGGGACAGGAAGTCCTTGAGCCAAATGTTATACAAACATAAATACAAAGTGAACATAATGCACATTCATTAAGTTAATATCATTAGTGATGTCCCGAACGGTTCGCCACGGACTCCAGTCAGCAGACACATTCCAGCGAATCAGCAGCAGACCCTCCCTCCCAGACCCTCTCACCTCCTGGACAGCTCACTAAGAATGCAGTTTCAAAATGGATGCTGTCCAGGAGGTGGGAGGGCCTGGGAGGGAGGGTCTGCTGCTGATTGGCTGGAATGTGTCTGCCGACTGGAGTTCGTTGCGAACCGTTCAGCGAAGAGTTCAGGACATCACTAAATATCATGTTAAGACACATGGTAATATTCAACTTGAATAAAGTGCAAATGCTATTTTTAAATTCCAAACGCAGTTTTTTTTTTTTTTTTTTAAAGCGCAAATTCAACTTTTAAAATAAAATTAAAAAATAGTGTTAAAAAATAGGATTAAAAGCTTCTCTCCAAAGGATAATATAAGAACCCCCAAAAAGTTTTATTCAAAGAAAATGAACCAATTCAAAATCAGTATTCAAATCCTTTGGAACTAAAGTGTCTAAAGTGAAGATCCATCTTGTTTCAATTTTCCCAAGTTCTTTGAAATTATCTTCTCCTCTCCAATTCTGAGTTTTTTTATAAATAGCCATAAAATTTAAAAGTGATGGATGCTTATTGTGAAATTTTGCAAAATGTGCAGATACACTATGTTTTTCATACCCCCTGTGGATATTGTCCATGTGTTCCGCAATACGTGTTTTTAATTGACTAGTGGTCATACCCACATATTGCAGTCCACACAGGCATCATAGGAGGTATATAACATTTTGAATGACAGGTTAGAATATCTTTAATATTAAAATTGGTTCTAGATACTGACGACTTGAATGTGGTAATTGGCGGCTTTTCAAAAGCCATCTTTTTGAAACCAGAGCACAATTTACAATAATAAAAACACAATTTTTGATTAAATGTATTGCTGATTTTATGAGGTTTTGTAAAATTCCTTACTAAAATATTTTTTATATTTTTAGCACCTCTATATATGATATTGGGTCTATCTCCAATGAAACCTGAGAGGTCACTATCCGTTTTTAGAATGTGCCAAAATGTATTAAAAACTTTTTTAATTTGATGACTATTAAAATCTATAATGATAGGGACACCTTTTTGTATTGAATTGAATTGCAGCTTTGTCTTTGGCATTTTGAAATTGGAGAACAATGTCTCTGGAGGCAGTGGGTGGTACTCTGGCTGGTTGAGGCACAGTGAGTGTCACTGTTTTGGCGGTTTATGGCATCAATAGGGCTGAAGTAGGCGCTTAACGGAGTGTGGCAATTCGGTTTCTGGTATATTGTCTGAGACTCCTCTCAGTTTAATGTTGTTTTGGTGCCTGGCGTCCTCCTGGGCCGTGAATCGGTGCTCGTAGGTTAGGTTCTGTTGTTGCAGTACCTTCACTGCTTGCTGTAGTGATGCGATTTGTTGGGTTCCCGTGTTGGAGGAATGCTACAGTTTGCTTATCCTGCCTGTTAGGCCTTGCAGGTCTCCCCGCAGTGCTGTCACATCTGTTGAGATTTTTTTATGCAGGTCTGCTAGCAGGTCTTTCAGGACTGCAATGGTTACTGGTGCAGATTCTGTGCCTGTTTGTGGTGATGACGTGTGGGGTATCGGCTGCGGGGTTGGAGCGGGTATAGTGCTCTCTTCATTCTCATATGACAGGTCATCAGAGAAATCTGAGCAATCTCCTTTGAGGGACGCCATCTTTGGTCCATGTGCGTCTTGAGTCTGCCACCACAAATCCCCTATCGTCATCCCTAACCTGGGCTTCTCCGGTTTCGGCTTTTTTGTTTTTCGCCCCATTGGGTCCGCTGGAGCCAAGGGATCCTTAAGAGCTTGGTTCCGGTGTATATTGCGACGTGGGAAAGCCATGAAAGGGCTTTGCATCTCGGAGCTCCGGAGACATGGGACCGATCGCTTCTGCTGCTAGGCTCTGCCTCCTATCTTATTGGCTTTTTATATCCAATACTCTGACTTCTGGATCCCTCTGATCTTGGCGTGTCCTGGTTTATGTTAAGCCCAGCTGTTATAAATTGGCTGCACTAAATAACTCAAAATACCACATTTATAACACTTGTTAAAATAGTATGCCATCATGTGGGTAATTTTCTTTCAATAGGGTGCCATGTTCTCTCAAAGGTGACATAGGCCCAGAAAATCTCTTTGATAGTAGGTATGAAAGGGTACTGTTGTATTTGTGAGGCAATGTTAAATAAAAATGCTGAGGCTTTATTACACCAACTTAAATAAAGATTATGAAATGGTATTCACGTGTGTGAAAAAACATAAACGTATAATCACTGAATAAGGGCCTGAACTTGTAATACAGTGGCTAGATCTCAAACCAGTCCTCAAGGCACCCCTGCCAGTCCAGGATTTAAGGATTACCCAGTTGCATCTAAGATGTTTTTAGAGAAACAAACAAAACACCTTATACACAACTGGGTAATCCCTAACTCCTGGATTGCTAGGGGTGCCTTGAGGACTGGTTTGGGTACCACTTGGCTAGACCAAACCACTCAAAATATGCGATTTGCAATACTATAGGTTGCCTAATATTGAAAATGGTCAATGATATAGTGCTCAAAATGTTATTACCCAGGTTGTCATACTGTCTCAAACGTGACAGCGGCCTAGCAAATCACATTTCCAGATATGAAGACTAAAATGGTCATGCCCCGTGTTTTGCCCTGTAACTTTCCAAAATTTCATAAAACCTGCTTATGGGTTGGTACCGTAGCTCACGTGAGACATCACTGAAAATAAATGAGTGTTTTTGAGTAGTAAAATGATATCAGTGAAAGATCATTTTTTGAGTGCAAAAAACAAATATGTACACTACATTTGGCCAGATTGTGTGACTATAGCATATTTTGAATACCCTGGGTTGTCTACTTTTGCAAATGGTATGCCATGATGGTGTCATTTTCATTTCTGGGCTGCCATGCAGGCTCAAAACCAACAAAGGTGCAGCAAACCAATCTAGCAAATTTCAATGTCTAAAAGCTGAACTGTTAATTCCCTATATTTGACCCTTTAACTTTTTTAACCTTTCCAAAACCTTGTAAAAAATCTTTACATGAGGGGCATTGTTGTACTCGTGGGACATGATAGCATAAATATGTGTGTTTTATTGCAGTAAAAGCTAACCATATTATGACATTCACAGTTAAAATGTCATGCAGAACTTTCTTAATTTCTCAAACTTTTTTTAGATTTTATTAATATAAAATTATTTCATGCATAAATATTTGATGTGAAATGAAGGACATATTTCTCCAGAACAAATTAAATATAATAAGTGCGGGTGCACTTAATATGAAAGAGGTAAATTATGATTGAACAAACTTAAATTATGTTTTGGTTCAGAACTTGGAAAATAGCTTCGACAAAAAATCCATTATGTGGAGAACTTTTGTTTCTTACAACATATATATAAATTTGTGTTTTTCAAACAGGAACCATGGAACCATGAATTTGCTTGACCCTTCTGTTTACCATCCTGATGTGAAGAATAAAAGAAGGGTGCCAGAATGGTTACCTGCCTAAGGCCCTGTGGGTTCTTAATTCTTCCTTCTTTATAGATGGTGTTCAATAAAATGTTTGCCATTGGATCTGGTAGATCTGGTAGATTTAATGGTAATAATATAGGAGACCTGTCCGTTTCAACAGTTACAGTAGAATTGTGAGAGGCGGATTTAATGGGCATATGCTTCAATTTGGGGTATTATAGCAGTTTGACTGTTCAAAAAACCTCCACAAAGGCCTACCATTTGTAAAAGTAGACACTCCAGGGTATCTCATATGGTGCACATTGTGCCTTAACATGCCCCCATTTATTCACTAATATATGCCAAAGTATGTGGTAAAAAATTATTTTGGGCATTTTTTACATACGGATTACATTTTTGCTGGGCATTTTGTACATTTTATATGTGCCACTAATTTCAAACCCCCCACATTATGCTCAGCTAAGTGTTCTGAGTAAAGCAATATGCAGCTAATGAAAAGTAAGTTTTTAGAGATTATGAAAAATCTGTTTAAATTCTAATAAATGTGTATTTACTTTTTTGCAACAATTAATTATCTGCATTGATAAATATATGCATTTTTGACATATCTCAAACATCACGCCGTTTGGGAAATAAAGGTCTTAGTTTCAATAGTACTAAAAACCTAAACAGCTGGTATGTTTGGAAAATGTCAGTACAGTCTATGATTAAAGTAATATGGCTGCTATAGATTTTGCAGAGATTCTGTGGCAGATATTAAATTCATTCAAATTGTGGGTGTATATCTAAAATATGTCTGGTGAAAACAGTTGTATATGGGTCAACTCGAAGTAGGTATTTTATACAGCTAGTCAGGTAGTGCCACCAGTTGTCATTCCCTTTTGATAGGGCTGCACAGAGTAAGAATTTATCACAGATAATTTATTTTCATTATTAGTTTGCGGCCTTTTATTAGATCTTTTCTTGTGAGGATTATCAGAATAAATGCTGCGGCAAACAATAAAGAAATGCTTTAGATTGCCTCAATGGCATCAATAAAATCTTCTACTCTCAGTCTTCCCACATTCATGTGCTTAATATTGACATTTCCCAGCAAACAACTTTGAAAAAAATCACAACGGGATGTTAGTCAGCAATCGGAAAAGAACAATCAAATCAAGATAGCTAGTAAATCAATCTACTCAGAAAATATACCACAAATGTTGATCAAATTCCATGAAATCCAAGAAAACAGATGGCAGTTTGGTAAATCCAAAGTTATACTGTAGAATTGGATTAAATTATTAAGAAGATCTATCTAATATATATATAAATCCAAAAAATTTATGTATCATATTATTATTATTATTATTATTATTATTATTTCTAAAGAGGCAAAAAATTCCATAGCACTGTATAATAGGTGGCAGTGGTGTATCCTGGTTTTGTGCTGGACAAAACTCAGACGCCACGCCCACCCAACCCTTCCCCCCTGCCCTGCCTTCTAAATACACACACACACACACACACATTCACTGACAGATACGCATACACTAGCTAACAGACACACACACACTAACAGACACACACATTCACTGACAGATACGCATACACTAGCTAACAGAAACACACACTCGCTAACAGAAGCACACACTCACTAACAGACACACACACACTAACAAACGCACTCACA